ACGCAACCAAATTAACAATTCACGTAGAGTCATTAAATATATAACTATAATCGTGTGGCTACAAACACAGAAGAGAGATTTTTCTCAGTACTTGTTTCTTAATAAAAATTATTTCAAATTTCTTCATGGGGAAACAAGAATTCTTCTTCTATTTTGTGCCTCGAACGATTACGAGCTTATCACTATGAGAGTATTGTACCTTCAATATTAGCCGTTAAACTATTATTTTATTCCGTTGTATAATATTCTCTCGCTGGCTGCGGCTCGTTTTATAATGATATTCATTGTTCAGCTACTTTACTTATAAAGGATTAGACAGCCACTAGTTAAATCTGTTCTTTAGGAGTATGCATAGCGTGGTACAAGTCCAATTTTTAGCACTAGTACTAAAAGAGAGATGATGCTCAAGTATTCAGATAAATCTATGAACGCATCAAAGGAAACAAAATACTTTTGCCACGCCGCAACAGCCTCTACTTTCTTTAGTGCGCCATTAAGTGATCTGTTTAATTGAATTGAAATAAAATGAAACCAGTTAGCTTCTAAATCTTACACACAATTTTTCCAAAAAATAATATTCTACAACTGATGTGACTCGAAGGAGCCCTACTTATGAAAGTTCCTAACATGAAATCCCAAACAAATTTTCAAAATGTTCACAAAAATGGCTCAAAATGTTATTTTTGTTGCTAGAATAGAACATACTATTCTCCTAACAATAGTGCAGGCATTTTCGAAAATTGCAAAAATTCAAAATATTTTATGTGCTCTCCTGTAATCCGATTAAAGATAGATATTTCGTTCTCAGTGAAATCTTTTCTCGTAGCAATAGCGCAGGCATAATCGAAAATTACAAAAATTCAAAATATTTTGTATGCTCTCCTATAGCCTGATTAAAGATAGGCATTTCGTTCTCAATGAAATCTTTTCTTGAAAATTAAATATTTCAATGATGGCATGACATATTTTCAAAACAGTTTCAAGTAGTTTTCGCGCACGTTTCAATGAAATCGGGGCAGTTCAAAAATACGTAAACCAGGTTCTCTCAAGAAAGGTTCCAAATTTTCTTTCTCGTATACGTACATAGAGGGGGAGTAACTGACGAGAAAATTCTCGTGTCCTGCAAGGAAACTTTTATTGAGGAACTTAATCCCTAAACCAAGAACAGTGGTACCGTGATGAGGCCAAAGGATACTATGAGCAAATATCTAAGAGCAAGTATCTATTCTAAAGAAGTGATCAGTGCCAAGATGGACTTACGCGATATTCAAGAAGCCTGAAGATACCCCACTGGAGATGTCCTCAGAGGTGCGACAGGGACCGCGAGAGGACCTGGTAGGTCGCTTAGACGCCGGTAGATAGCAGCTGAATGAGGGTGGTGCAAAACCATAAAACTAGCCCGGATTCAAGAGATCAAGAAATTGACTTGTACGAGAAAATCTGTGTTATTTTGTAGCAAACACCTTTAATTGATGTATTTACGTACTTTAGACTTTTCCTTTATCGTTTTCAATTTGAATGCTTAGTGTCCATTTGAAAGTTGTACGTCTCAAGAGCAATATATTTACTCTCAATTTATCTGTGTTAATTCTGAATTGGAAGTTGAAATATGTAGCAAGTCTGATAACTTCGCAATTATCAGTTGCATTCCAATTTCATTCCGGTACCCGGAAAACAACCATTAGTCAACGGAGGACAACAGAAAAAATTGCAAAATAATTAAATGAAAATGTATGTGTAGGAAATGGTGTGGATTTTACTACATTGGCATCGTTATAGAAATAGATATGAGGTATTGTTTTGCCGTGCTCATTTTTCCAGAAAGCTTTTTCGGTCGCATAGCGAAAATCTTCAGAGCTACAAAAATAACAACATAACTAAAATTAAAATTTTATCTGTTTCAGAATATTATTTATGAATTTTAATAAACATAGAATTTAAGCACAATAGAAAAATGGGGATATAAAATGCGAAAATATAAACATAATTTTCAAGAAAGAATACATGAAATAACAAATGTACAAAGTAAGAGAATTCTTAAAGAAGGCACGAAGAGAGATAATTATTAAAATTTTAATTGTAACTTTAGAATTATAATTTGATGTATTCCGAATCAACTTTCTTATTTTAACAAAGATAGCCAAAGGTTCATTCTAGGGTATACTTAATTACTAGGCAGACGTATATAGTAAAATTAACAGACGGGGTAAAATGAAGAAGAAGAATAAGGAGAAGAAAAGAAGATGAAGATGATGAAGAAGAAGAAGATGATGATGATGATGATGATGATGATGATGATGATGATGATGATGAAGAAAATAAGATGAAGAAGAAGAAGATGAAGAAGAAATCTCTCACACCGTGATACTCTCTATATAATAAAAGTTGCTATCTACTTTTTGTTAGAATCAATGCCTGAACATTTCCTCCTTACAAAAATTCGATTGATTTTGAGTGTATCTCACATAACATAAAAAGCCAAAAATACTCTGCTGCCATTTACTTGATACTGGCTTGTACCAACAAGCAGAGGAACTATTGCAACAAGTTTTGGGACGCGCTTGAATTTATAAGTTCCTACAGTCATAGCGCATTAGCAAGTGAAACCAACTATAAATAAATAGCGATTTTGGGAGCTGATGTTCAAACTAGGGCCATGCCCTTTAGAAAACAAGCTTGAAATTACAAAGGAAAGGGCGATTTTGGATGCAACTTTTCATGAGCGATGGCCTACCTTCTCTTGAGCAGTAAACAGATGAAGTGAGCACTGATGACAACATTCCGAATATGGAAACTTCGTTGGGGCGAAACAGAAAATAGTTGCTTTCAAAGACACGAATTTCTTTTCGTGATTTTTTTTTCGATAATACCTCAATAAATGTCTGAGGCTACTGCAGGTCTTCCAGAAGACGCTCCTCAAATTCGTAAGAAAGTTAAGAGGGTGTGTAGTAGCGATGAACGCAAAATTAACGAGAAATTACGAATGCTTGTGAATTAAAAAAGGAGATCAAGGTTTTAATGTATCCATCTTCAGTGCTACAAAAATAAAAACAAATCTAAATAACAATTAAAATTTTACCTGATATTGAATATTATTTATGAATTTTAATAAAAATAGAATTTAAACACAATAGAAAAAATATTTAAATATTTAGATAGCGATATTTAGATCGCTGCGTGCACTGGAGAAAGTATTTCCACGAAACCAAGAATAAAAATAAGAAGATCTAATGATCATTTGCAGTCCCTACAAATGTCGGGTAAAGAAAGGTAATATTCAAAGAAACAAATTTATCCTATGCCATGAAACTATAATTTTACTTTCTCGCTCTCGTTTATGCAGATTAGACCTTACGAAGCAAATTTCACTGTATAAAAAATTTGGATGCACTCGATTTTATACGTATTTTACCATTCATCCAGGATAAGTTGGTAGACTAATGTTGATAGTAGTTAATAGAAGGCCATGGATTATCACAACACTTGCATATTTTACTTCAAGTTTGACTTTTAATATTATCAATGTGAATAAATCATGTTATTACATTAATGCCTGACTATAGTGTTGCTTAGAGACATCTTACATTTGTAAACATCATACTTTGTCTCTCGAATGTGTTTATTTAAGTAAGTGGATAAGTCACATTTACTCCTACTAATTTAAAGGTTAGTAATTACGTAATTTTTAAGCACTGTGTAGTTTTGAACCGAACAAGATTACTAAAACATTAATTTCTTAAACTCATGCGGAATTTGCTTTAAATATCCTGAAAGAGTAATATACCACATGTAATAACACAAATAGGACTACACATAGCTACTTCTACGCGGCTCATTTGTAAAAATACTACTCAACGAGAAAATGTTAACCTAGCTGAAAAAATAGCGCTGCAAACTAGAGAATATGTCGCAATCTGCTAAAATGAAAAATAGGCTATATCATAGTTTACTATCGTTTTCAGTTTAATTCTTTACATAAGAACTATTCCCACCGAGGGATTTCTGGCGTCGACAACTTTCCTTACACTCTTTATTCGTGATTTGTAAGATATTTTTCCAATTTACAGTTGGAAGATCACGATCTAATGCATGGATTTTCAAAAACATATTTATCTTATCCAGTAAGAGGAGGAACAACATTAGAAACATCTACCGTTCAACAGAAAACTTAATTTTTAAATTAAATGTTCATGCGCAAGCGCCTACGTATGCCATCTAATGATTGGACTGTGTTGATGATCAGTTCATTTCATGAGATACGCGGTCTGACTCGTGCAGACACTATAGAATTAACTACACGCGAGAATAGAAGATTCTCTTGTGGTTGAGCGCCTGCGACACCTTTTGGCAGCATGTGATGAATTCTTCACCAGACCGCTTCGGAAAGCAATGGACAGATGTAAACGTATGCGTGCGTGATTTACATTTTGTAATTCACTCAATACAGATCGGAATCTGTTCTAATTGAACATGGATTACATTTCTCACGAATAGTTAACCTTTCTTATTTTGTTCTTGCTCTAATCAGATTCTGATCACTGTATCCTTGAAAATGTATGTATTAATGATGTAATATGTATGTATTAAATGCATGAGCATCCAGGTATACAATTTGTGATTTCTTGTCGCTCCGCATTATCGTGAAAAAATATATGGAGGTATTGTTATGTGAACTTACGTACAAAACTATCAACATCACTCTGCAGGCATTAGGATCTAAAATATACAAACTCGTTCGCGGAATACGAACACTGATAGCTTCAGACAAGTATTTTCTTTACATCTAAAAGCAGAAGTAAATACAAAACTGGGAATGGCTAGCAATAACCAATAGGGAATGGCTAGCAACCATCTATCGAGTTTGCACTAGCGGTTTCTGTATCGACCAGATCAGTTATTTGTCGACTGTCTGTCCCCACAAAGGCCTGAGCGCCGTGGCCCTCCGAGGCGCTTAAGCCAGGAATGATCCGCTGCCCGCTAAGCGCGCTCTCGGCCCACAGATGGCTGGCCACGTGAGATCGGCCTCCGACTCGAGCGGTCGACAGTTCCCGGTCGGTCCATGCGCTGTCCGTCCGCGTGCCGTCAGCCCGTTCGCCGCCACGAGTAAGGGCAGCCTCCGACCAGAGTACCCTGCCGGTCCCCGTCAACCCGTGCGCCGTAAGCCATTGCGCTGTCAGCACTTGCGCCGTCAGCACTTGTGCCGTCAGCCCTTGCGTCGTCAGCCCTTGCGCCGTCAGCCCTGGCGCCGTCAACCCTTGCGACAGTCCCTTCTCCGTGAGCTCATGCGGAGTCAGCTGGTGCGCCGTCAGCCCGTGCGCTCAGTCCTTTCGGCGTCAACTCGTGCGCCGTCGTCTGTTCCCCGTAAGCCCGTTCGCTGTTAGTCTTTTAGCACCCACCATGCGGATCCTGTGCTCATGCTACATGCACATGCAGAGTATTTGTCAGGTAGGAAGGTACCTCGCCTCTTCCTCAATATTTTGGGCTGCCGTTTTACGACAGATGCCAGTATCTAACTAAAGTTCTCCTTGCTATGTTTGGAAGCATGGGCAAAACCTGTATAATGTAAGTATGGGCATTTGCATACCTGGCCGAGATATTATTCGGTAAATAATATTTTGTCTTTAATAAACATTAGATTTTTATTTAAAACATTATATGTAAACGAATTTACTTCGTATAGTAATGTAAATAAAGATAAAACTTGAAACTTAACTTTCGTTTGTCCATGGTATATTACATTTTTTCTATTTTTTCTTTAAAATACTTTTAAAATTAATTTCTTATGCGCTAAACTACAATTGTAAACCAACAATTTGTTAAACCAACGAAATGTTCAAAAACGTCCCTTCCGAATCATTATATTTTCTTAAGAAAACGTAATTTCATTAAAAGTGTTCCCCATCCAATAAAAGAATACTCCAGAAATCTTGACCACGGTCATGCTTAGAAGTGCAAATGCTTGCTTAACACTTCTCACCAACCTGTGATGGCCGGCGCCTGGGAGTCTCTGAGGTCATTTGTGACTTCAGTAATATCTATCAATTCTTTGAAATAATGACACAGAAGTAACTAAATTGGATCATAATATAAGATCATGAATTAATTTTGTTAATTTTAGTTTTATTACCAATTGGGGGGATCTTAAACTTTGTGTTAAAACATGGTGAATATTAGTTCCAAAAGAATTTGGAAAAAAATGTAAGGATTTATTTTGTGTACCCATATGTACTAGAAATTGATATAAAAGAAAACACAGAAAAATTGAAGAAACAAACTGCAAATTATTTATAATGGATAAATTTGCATTGAATTTTACATCTAATAAACTAAAATTTTTAGAAGATAGAATAAATTTATTGAACAATTCCATAAAAGAAAATAGGAAAACTAGCCGTTGCAGCAGACTTTTATTTGTATAAGTGAAGTACCATTTTTTTCTCGCAGTTTAAAATTTGAGGAAACATTATTTGAAAAGGCTGGTTTTAATTACATTTTAAACTGAACATTCGAATGTTGGTTTTCTTTAATGTTTTTGTCTGGACCCAATTATAAAGAAGTTCGTATAGGTCCCATGGGCTCCTACACTTTACATTCACTTCGTCATTCATTATACATTTTTTGTACATGTATAACTTGTATTTCTAGCGTCGCACGAGTATATTCTCATAATTGAACTTTCCTCTACTGCTTCTGGTTTGAGCGGGTCAATTGTATTTCTTCCTCCAAGAAATGTCAAATAGTGATGTACGAATTCTTATCAATAATTGTGAGTAACGCTAATTACAAAAGGAAAATAAATTGATTTCGCGTCGCAAAATTGAAGTTAAATACTATAATGAACTGTGAATTCACATTATGTAAGGAGATTCGCGGATTTGTAGTTAATTTGCACACCACAACAGACTCTAAACAAACTTTATTGCTCCACTCCCGGAAATAAACTAAGTAATATTCAGATGATAAAACTAGCATTGGACTTATAAAGAAGGAAACTAAAATGTCTAAACAAAACAAATTTTGAAAAGGATGCAAATCTTGTGCTCGGAGCTCTGCCGAGCAGCGCCTACTTGGGAGTGAACCCAACACTCGGAACTCTCCCTCTAGAGGAAAATTCAAGCAGCCTGATCGGTAGACTTCTCCGCTTAACATCATGCGAATGCCGGAGCAGTACCATAACAGACCACGCGTGACATTTCTTTCCTCTCCCTCGTCCTATTCGTTCCCCTTACTCCTCAATTTACATGTATTACCTACACTACCACACATGTCGGGAAACAAATTGGGGGCTTAGATCTTAGCGTCCTGACTGAAGTGGTGCCCCGCTGGTAGGAGATACCTCGAAGAGGAAACCCCGCGAGCCGACGATCAGGTCAGCGTCGGAGCTCACAATCCGCCATTAAAATATGCACTACACTTACGGGGCTAATGACCTTAGCAGCTAATGCGCCCGGAATCACTAATCAATTCCAAGATAAAATCATGCACTACAATTGCAGGAATAATTACCTTTGCATCTGACGCACCCGGAATTACCAATCAATCGATCAATCCAGCGACACGACCTACACTTTGAGCACTGATGACCTTAGTACTTGACGTGGCCACACCCCCTTGGCGTGGAGCGGAGCGCGCGGCGGTGACGGGCGCGGGGCGGGCGTGTGCGCAGGTGGCGTGTGGCACAGAACCTCGGAGGGCGACGGCGTGGGCGGCAGCGCGGCGGCGGCGGCGGCGTGCAGGCGGCGCGATGTGGCGCTAGCGATGCGCTGCCGACGCCACGGCCGCCTGTGCGTGCTGGTGCTGCTGCTGACGGTGTACGCGGGCGCGCTGCTGCTCCTGCTCGCACTGCCCGCCCTGGAGCCCTACAGGGTGAGTTCTTTTCTCTCCCCCCTTCCTCCTCCTCACCTTTTCTTCTTATCTTATTATTTTTCTTCTCCTCTTCCTCGTCTTCTTTTTCTCCTTCGCGTCTTCTTTTTCTCCTCCGCGTCTTCTATTTCTCCTCCACGTCTTCTTTTTCTCCTCCACCTCTTCGTTTTCTCCTCCACCTCTTCGTTTTCTCCTCCACGTCTTCTTTTTCTCTTCCACATCTTCTTCTTCTCTTCCACGTCTTCTTTTTCTCCTCTTCCTCGTCTCCTTTTTCTCGTCCACATCTTTCTCTCCTCCTAGTCGACTTATTTTTCTCCGTCACATCTAATTTTTCTTCTCCTCGTCTTATTTTTCTATGCGCTTTCTTTTTCACCTTCTCATCTAATTTTCACCTCAGGTTCGTTTTCTCTTCTTTTCTTTCTTTTCTTATCTTTCCTTTCCTTTTTAGATTTTATCTTTTTTCCTTTCATCTTGTTTCTTTTATAAATGTTACTTCTTTTCGTTTTTTCACCTTCCTGATTTAATTTATTTTCCTATTATTGTCCTTCGGCTTCTTTTTATTCTTCGAAGAGTCATGTTTCTGAAATGATGAATGAATGAGTAGAGGATATTATGAGATGGTGATGCTTTAGCTTTTCCTAGACGCAGAACTACAGAAAACGTTCGCGCATTACACAAGAATCAAACCCACAACCGTGCAAAGAACGGCTACAACATTTTGCGCATCTACAGAGTGAATAATTCAATTTCTTATAAAACGTAAACGAAGTACTCGTACTTTCTACTATCAGCTTGTCGAAAATGTGAACCATATCTGACAGTCTACGTTACCCATCAAAATGCTGCTTTTGAACGATAAAGGTTTTTAGTCTTTCTGACTGTGGACTGTGGTAGGGACTGTCGGGTAACTTGCCTTCTGAAGGCTCTGTTCCGTGCTGACCTGTTGAAGTCTGTGGTAAATATCTTAGGTGCGATTACATCTTACCTACTCCAAACACAACCCTGAAGTCAAAATAATTACTTCTTGAACATGCACCTTGCATCTCCATATTGGCAGCACATATTTTTACTTCGTTGTATACATACATTATATACGGAGTATTATACAAATTATAGGAAATGCTGAGCAAAAAACGGAGATTTTCGGCAGAAAAAATTTTATTGCCGGGCCCTGGTAACGAAAATGTAGATAAACCCAGTTGCTAAATAATCACGAAAATCCTCTAACATGTGGTGTAGCCAGAATCCATGTTTTGTGGGTCCTCTATACCGAACAATTGATTGACATCAACCGTCTGTCCGTCCGTCTGTCTGGTGTATGTGAACAACACTAGCGCCTAAATTAATGTCTATGAGCTTATTCCCTGAAAAGGGGCTGAATATCCAAAATTTACCACTCCCATTCCAATTATTTTTTATTCGACTACGCTCGAATAGTTATTGCCACAGGCAACAAAAAAAAATTATGAAATACTGATTTTCTGGGTTTTCTTTTCGAGAAGTGTGTGCGGGTGAGTAGAGGATTAGTGCAAGAGCAAGCACATCCTTGGCAAAGCGCTGTGAATAGCTCAAATTATTCGCTTAAATTATGCCTCGCCTATGAAACAGCGTCACTTAATTAACCGAATTAAATGCCTGGGCGACTAATTGAGTCATTTAGAGATCGCAAGGGGCAATGTGCGTAGCAGTTATGTAAACTGCTCTTAGGTAGACGTTTATCTGGTCCTCTTGACAACTAAGATGGATGAAAATGGGAAAAACTCTTTTTCTCTTTTAACCCCTATCGATTATATCAGTTTTACATTACCGATAATGAATAATTTACAATTTGTATTCTAAATTCACATTACGTTATTTTAAAGCAATTCAAAAGTAGTACTAATGTAATAAAATTATTCTCCATTTTGAATGAAAATTCAATTTCACACTTAAATATTTTTCAAAACTATTGTCAGTAATTTGAGTCAATTAAAAAATATTTATTAACACCAAATATTCATTTCATTTTGCAAAATCTTTTATGGTTCTATAGATTAAACAAATGTGTTAAGACGTGTAATGCATTGAGGAATCTTGAGACCTTGACTCAAGGGCTTTCTATTGCCAGAGATAAGTTAACGCCCGTGGTACGTATATGATTTTATTTTTACCAAATTTAATTATTCATATTTACTTATTTACTAATTAACTAGTTGTTAACTTGACTGGATTTCCCTCCCATAATTCCCTTTGATAATTCTCCCCTATTATTACCTCCGTAAGATAACGTGCAGTAACATCAAACTCTATATCAACTCGTCACCAGAATCCTCTCGATCCATATAAGTTATGCAGTGAATATCGAGCCTCATATCTAAGGCAATAATAATCAATAACATATCAGTAAAAAATAAACAAATTATTTGTAGCTAAATATTACTTATATGAAAACATCATCATCATCATCATCAGCTTCAGGGATTAAGCCAGCCGGTTGGTTCCGGTCTCAAGTATTTTAATGCTGGATTAAAATTGATCAATTCATTGTTTCTTTGGGTGTCCCACATTTCTCCCTCCTTAAGATATGTAGTTGAGAAGTTGTTTCAGAATGTGGCAATCCTCCATTCTGTCAAGATGTTCCGACCAATTTACTCGATGTTTTTCGATTTTATCAAGGATGCTTGTGATATTTAGTTCCTGACGTGTAGAGGCATTTCTTTTTCGATCTTGGTGAGTGTATCCTCTCACATGTGTGAGAAATTTTATTACAAAAGCATAAATTCTGCTAGTTTGATTTTTTGTTGGAATCCAGTTCTCAGATCCATAACGAAACATGGGGATAACCATTAATTTATTGAATTTTAGACGCGTTTCTTTGCTTGTTGCTTTGAGATTTTGCTAGATGATCCCTCGTATTCGGTTGAATTTATTTATTGCATCGTTCGTGTATGAGGTGCTGTAACCTAGATAGTTGAAATTGCTGACTTGTTCTAAGGTAACATTGTCACGTACTATTTCCGCTCTGAATGGATCTATTCCTTTGAATGCCATTATCTTAGTTTTATCAACAGAATTTGTGAATTATACTCTCTACACAAGTAAACTTATTTCAAGAATTCGTATTTCTTATTTACATATTTTTTCGTAAAAAAATAGTGGTACGAAAAGTATTTAATGACATACGGTCGATAAAGCAAATAGCAGACTTGGTTGTTATTTCCAGTTTATCGCTGTAATGACGTGAAAAACGATTGAAGGTGGGAATTCTCTTTCTTTGTTTATATGTCGGAACCTGAAACTAATCCCTTTCCCCATAAACTCTAAAAACCCAAGCGAAATACTTCATGCATAATATATGAAAATTTAAAAAAATAATGTTTATACGTGCTACGTTTGACTTGCTATTTTCATAAGGAAAGAAAAAGAAAACAATTCTTAAAAGGTAAATTCTTGGTAACATATTTGATGTCACTAAGGTAAAACTAACGTCAAACGCTAAGGTCATTAGCCCCGTAAGTATAGTGCATGTTATATCGCGGGAGGTGGCGGTGATCTCCCTTCCGGTAGATGGCGAAATCCGGCGCCGACCTTACACCTCGACTTGCCGGGTTTTCTTCAACCCGGTATCTCCCTCCACCGCCCCGGGATAAGCTATAAGCTTCCGAATGATCTCCCAGCATATGAGGTAGTGTTGTGCATGTAAGTGTGTAAATAAAGAATAAGGATAGGACAAAGAAGAGGAAAGAAAGATCGCGCGCAGTCCGTGGCCCGTTTGTTAGGGTACTGCTCCGGCATCCGCATGGTGTTGATCGGAGAAACCTACCGTTCAGAGAAGCCGACCGCCAGGATTATCTCCCAGACAGCGGCTGAACTCGACCCAGCTGTGTGGCTGGTGTCGAAAATCCTACGGCAGGGCCGATGCCGCTTGCGGGGGCAGGAAGAAGAATGGGGAAGGGGGGGCGAACGGGCGCGAGAAGCAACGGCGCTTCGAAGCCGTAAGAGTTTTATCGTCGACAGCTTCCCTTCTCGCGACGCACGCCGCAATTTCTGCCGACGAACGTGACATACGATTGGTCGTAAATCAAGACATTATAGTATTTTGTTCTCATCCGGCGAAGCCATAAATCCTTTTGAAGAATTTTTGGTCGCTGAATACGCTTGATAAATTCTTTCTTGTCGTTTTAACATCGGATTTCCTGTACGTGTAAAATTGGGAGACATTTGGAAGTTTCTTTAATTTGACTTAGACTCCTTAAATATTTTGGTCGATTCCTTAAATCGATATTATCCATTTGTATCATTTAAGCTATTGATACAATAAGAACGTAAGTCGTTTTACGTTATTATTGCATAAACATCATTTCTAGAATTGCAGTATCTCCTCCACACGGATATATCAATTTTGCTTCTCTAAATTGCTCCTAAATGGCTACACAGTTGTAAATGTAAATGTGCGTTGCACACAAGCCAAATATATTGTTTCGAGTACGTCGGCGAGTAAAAATGTCGGGTCAAATGGCTTTCTTCGTTCGCGGTCTCCTTTTCGACGATTTCAGTTTTTAATAATAAGTTAGGTCAATAAAATAAATCATTTTGAAGCTGGGCAACCTTAAGGTTTCATGAAACCCAAATAAACTTGTGCGAGAGCCTCTGTAAATAACTTCTTCAGTTCTTTGTTTTTTTGGTTGTTTTTTTCAGAAATATTTATTTTACGAACGTTGTTAATAAATTTGTAACGGTAGCAATAAATTAATGCTGCCTGAACTGCCAAGAATTAATTAATTAAATGTGAGTGGGTAGATTCATATAAAAGTAATCACAATAATAATACTAATAAATAAAAATAGTAATAATAATAATAATAATAGTAATAATAATAGTATTAATAATAGTAATAATAATAATAATAGTAATAATAATAATAGTTATAATAATAATAATAATAATAATAATAATAATAATAATAATTTAATTTCACCTCTTGGTCATAGGTAAACGATTGGGAAGGAATGTGTTTTTCGTTAACAACCGCCAACTACTGTTGTTCAGAAGATGTAATTGTTATAAATGATCTTTGACTGATAATGAAAGGATTGATTGCCTCAGCTGGGAATCGAACCCAGCAGTATCTTGTGGTTACCCCTGTTGCTCTGATCCCTTGAATATGCCCGGATCAAAGTTAGAGCAAGTAAGCATATACTGGGAGATTCGGGTTCGATTCTTGGTTGAGGTAGTTAAATCCTTCAACAGTCAAACATCACGAACCACGTGACCACAACACGGGGACGTCGCTTAAAAAGCCAGACTAGGCACTAGCCGCCATGTTGCATGGAGAGCGAGAAGTATTGATAAACGTTTTGAAAGTGACAATTTTCAACAGTCACCAATCAAAAATAATACGAAGATGCAATATTCAAAAGAAATTCTTCATAAGTCTGTTTCAATGACTTCTAACGAGGTCATAATGTTGGTATCTGGTGGCATTGAAAATTCCCGCTAATATTGTGACGCACACTAGTGTCTGAGCTTATTGGCTGAAGTCGGATACGATGCGCAAGAGCACCCCTGGTTGAGTGAGTACTATTCTTCGATTTATTTACAGTGTTCTTTGACAGGTCATCAGCTGTTACAGAAACATCCAATCCGGAGCTTAAACATCACCACAGTGACATTACTGTATTGACGTTTAAGCTCCCGATGGGATGACACCAACACAGTTGATTTACGTCAATGGACAGTGTTTAAATCTAAATATAGTGCGTGTTTCAAAATGATTTTAAGTAAATAAGAATAAGATACACATTTTTTATGGAGAATTGTTTTGTCAAAAAGTGTCATCTGCAAATGGCACGGATCAATTCTGTTAGGAAGTACTCCAAATCAATTCTGCTAGGGAGAAGTGCGGTGAGTGTCATCTTTTCTCTGCTTTAAAAGAGTATGAAGAGAGTTTTTTCCAATATCTGAGAACGACACGTAGCATATTGGAATTTGTGCCGCAAAAAACTGAAACAAGATTAACTAAGAGGTGGAAAAATTGGCACAAACATCCAACTTTACCAGAGGAGAGCGTTGTCACTTTGCGATTAGTAAAATACATCTTACGACCAAATTTATTGATCATTTCCATAAAGTTTGTCACAAACCAAGTTCATTATATATTTTTTAAAAACAGTCTTTCTTTATCGTGCAACTTTTTAAGATACGGCACTAAAGATAGTACAAAATGTTAATCGTCGTCAAAAATTCTCTTTCTTTTCTCCTTCAATACATCAAGCTTCTTTTTTTCTATTTCAAGCATTTGTTTTTGAAATGCATCTCTTGAAATTAACCTACTTCTTCTTTTATGTTGATGATGGTGGTGGTGGCGACGATTGTAATAGATGCATTACCGAGGGAAAAGCAGATTGTTGCGGTAAATTTTCCTCTCCATTTATATCTTCAATACCAATAAAACTACGCTGAAGGTAAATGGCGTCACCCTCGCAAATCATCAAAACATCATTTTCTGCTTGAGGAGAGTTAAAAGTTAGGTTTAAATCTCGATATGTTGAAGGTGCAGGTTGTTGTGATTGCCGGAAATGGTGCTGGTTTGAACAATGTTTTTTAGAAAGATTAAAGATTTTAAATATCGCCACTTTATATATTTTTTCCGCCGAGTCACCTTGTCGTGTAAAGGAATGTTTTGAAACTCCGCTGAGAACTGGTCGCGAAGATATTTCCATTTTTTCGCAGTGATAGTTCTAAAACAAATAAATAACATTCGACACTATCAATTTCTTGAAACTTACAGTATTACCTATCGTTCAAAGCAAATAGTAATTTCAAATAATACAAAAACTGTACAATTAAATTTTAAAATATGTTGTAGGTATTTGACTACTGTACCATAATTCAAAAGTGTTTCCTTCTCTTTTCTCATGAGTGCAAGTACTATGGGGAAAATTATTGCAGAGACTGGAGGAGTTGCATCCATTACATTTGCCATCTCCAAACCGGGCTCTTTGAAACAATTTCAGATGATTTTTATAATGTTTGGAACTTTCCACAAGTTTGAGGCGTCATGGCAGAAAACACGTTTGGGTGCTATGTCCCCAGAATACTAGTTCAATGTACTTTAATTACAAACATACTTTTATTGTGTTGCAGGGAGAGGCCGAAGCAAATTATAAATTTGCAATATTAGACGTTAGTGTCTATGGGAAGTAGCGTGACGGGGTAGTTTCTAGGCATCCGACCTGTACGCATGGTTAAATGCAGAGAAACATGTGATACTCACAGCCCAGGGAACTTTCAAATATCTCAACTAAAGCACCATTTGTATTTCCCTGTGATGAAGCTTGACCATTACTGGTACTGTGTTTGTTGAAAACGTTCAAGGAACATCATTAAGCCTTGAGCGGGAGTGTTTACAAAAAACATTTTCAAGAGCTAGGAAAACCACAGAATGTGCTTTTGGATTATTATAATTCAAATTGAGGATACTGTCTACACATATTGAAACTGATAAAAAATTAGTAGAAAAAAATCAGTAAAGTGTTTTATAAAACACAATTATCGATAAAGAAGTTTTTAAAACCCACCTTGATATCGCCTAGATACATCTGGATCCGGAAAACTTATAGTAAAGTACAGAGCTACCGTTCAATTCATCTTCAAATATGCGGGTTTTTTCGATTCGTATTTAGTAATCCACTGGTTTTCACTCAGAAAACTCAGTGTCACTGATGCTGAACATGTATTATATTTTATTTCTAGTTATTCCATTCACTAATAACGTAACTTTTAACTTATATTAAGCAATGCATGTGAAGTTATGTAAATGTTTACTTATCATCATTGTTCATTTCCTGAGAAATTTCTTTCCAGCACCTTTCCACAATGTTTCTTTTCACTTGTCGTTTGACCCTTTATCTCGTATTGCGGGCCTCACGAACACCTTCGATATCAAAAGTTGTACATCCACATTCACCAGAATACAAACGCACGCTGTGAAGTCGCGGCTTGACTGAAAACCAGCGTGTGCAGCTAGCGCGCCGACCAGAGCCCGGCAACTCTCCATCAAAATTGGGGACAAAGCTAGAGGTTGCTACTATAGGATGCGCTAGTGTCGCCGGATACAGCAGCTGATAAGACTCGCTACTTTCACACATAAAAATTGGTCAAGAAATACGAATACACTTTAATTACGAGCGATTTATGAAATAAATTACAAAAGAAGTTAAATACTACGTGTTTATCTTCTAAAATGCATTTATTCATAAGAATACACGCATGAAAGAAAAGATAGCGCGTACAGCGGCGCGATTTTATGTAACAAGCGCGTGTGTTTGCGTCCCGAGAACCCATGTGCGTTTTATATAACGTTGGTAGCAGTTCGTATTTTAGTCCGTGTAAGAAGGTGATGCTCTAGAGCGCGCCACTGTAATGGGCCCACCACGTTACATGGAAGTTATAGGGCCCTGGCGCCGACACTCCCGTCAGCTGGCAGGCGTTGATGAGAGAGCGCCAATAACTTTCGGCGAGCGTTCGTTGTGTCCGACACCATTTTGATAACATGGCGCAATCAAGCTGCTGAGTGACGTCATTCGGCGCCGGAAACCAGCGTTCAGTGTGAGCCCATTTCGCACCGCTCCGATGTCAAGCTCGGCTCTCGCGGTTCGGCCTTGTCTCCTTTCTCCGCCAAACCCTACCCTGCCCCTCCCTGGCCGCACCCCCAAGCCACGCCCTGCCTCGACACAACCGCCCCTGCCCGCGCCGGTGCAAAGCAATCCCTAAATACGTAAATGCAGTGCGGGTTGCATTAAAATAAATTTTGGGGGTAAATTTTTAATTGGGGGTAATGAATTTTGAAACGCGTAGGCTGCATAAACAATTTTAGTACTTTTAATTTATATAGATTATGAGAGACTCGTTTACAAATGTTCAAAATCACTTTTAAGTGCATTGGACGTCCAGTGTTTGCAATTTGATCACTCATTAATTAGTAAGGAAACATGTAAATAGTGTGTCGGGTTGCATTTTTGCCAGTTACAACAGACTCCAAAAATCCACATTTTTTGTTTTAAATATGTTCTAAGCACCCTCACGGGGCACTTACCTAACAGTAGAAGCATGCACGATTTTGCGACGTTGGTGTTTTATAACCAAATTCTTCATCTTTCGTTACTGTTTAACGTAAACATAAGACGCATTCGAAGAACCCACCCTTAGCCTTCATGACAGCTGCCACTCTCGAAGGCAAACGTTCAATCAGGTTCTGGAAAGTTTCTTGGGTAATTCCAGCCCATTCTGCGCGGAGTGCTGCACTGAGGATAGGTATCGATGTAGGTTGGTGAAGCCTGGCACGAAGTCGGCGTTCCAAAACATCCCAAAGGTGTTCGATAGGATTCAAGTCAGGAATCCCATTCACGTGCAGGCCAGTCCATTATAGAGATGTTAATTTCATGTAACCCCTCCGCTACAGGCCGTGCAGTACAAACAGGTGCTGTATCGTGTTGAAAGATGTAATTGCCATCCCCAAATTGCTCATCAACAGTGGGAACAAAGAAGGTGTTTAAAACATCAACGTACGCCTGTGCCGTGATAGTGCCACACAAACCAACAAGGAATGCAAGCCCCCTCCATGAAAAACACGATCACACCATAACACCATTTTAGACGTGTCCAGATACTTTTGACCACGTTGCGTATACACAAAATACAAAACAGTTCATTCCCCACATGCACACAATAATGAAAATTCGCACGATGAGGCAGCTTACCAGTAACAAAGTAGTCGACGTAAATCCCACGGCATTAGGCAGCTCCTCCAGTACAACATACTGTCGCCCGGCACCACAAGCAGGCAGTAAAAGCTCTCCCCTTGCTCTCCTCTTGAGCGCTCGCCTCTCTGTCCCCCCGACTGAGCCCTCTCTGCCTACGTGTGCCTACTTTGCCTACGCTTCGGCCCTACGTGCCGAAAGTTCCTACTGGCTACCCGGAACTTCCAGCCCCCTTCTGGTGACGACGTCACGGTGACTGCCTTCGCACAGGTGGTGAACCCCATAAGCGCGCGTTCTCTGCTGCGCACGCGCCCATTCGAACCGGCCCAACAAAACTAACATTTTTAATAACAATATATCAGGTGGCTCAGTGGTAGGAAGCTGGCTTTCTGACCTGAAGGGCCCAGGTTTGAATCCGGGCGTAGGTTGGGACGGATATCTGGTGATATTCGTTCAGGGCGGGTCTGAGGTCGACTCAGCCTCCTTTCCAAGTGAGTACCAGGATCTTTCCTGGGGTTAAAGGCGGCCGGAGCGTTGTTCTCGGCACACAACCTCATCCTCTCCGTTCCGACGGCAACGACCAGGAGGCCAAACTTCCCCTTCCCGGAGGGACGCATCGGCGGGTGTGCAATAGCACATACGCCGATGCGACCCAAACAATTTATGAACTCTATGCATAACGACGTTGCCTTACGTAAGGCGCACCCTGTTGAAGGCGGTGTGCAGATCAGTAGCGGGCTGAGCAACAAGCTCTAAGCTCCCGATTCAAATTGTGACATATTCACTTCATTCTTTCCCAAAAAGAAAAGAAAAATATCTCACAAATTTTATATATTTTCAAACGCCGTTTCTAATTCAACGAATAGAATAGTATGTTGAATACGGTGTGCAGAACGGTAGCGGGCCGAGCAACAAGCTCTAAGCTCCCGTTTCAAAATGTGACATATTCACTTCAATATCCCCCCCCCAACAAAAAAGACAAAATATCTCACAAATTTTATTCTTTGCAACACCGTTTTTAATTCAACGAATAGAACAGTATGTTGAATGCGGTGTGCAGAACGGTAGCGGGCCGAGCGGCGGCGGAGGTGGCGGCGGAGGCGGCGGCGGCGGCGGTGTCGGCGGCGGAGTGGGCGGCGCGGCGCCGCGGCCGGCGGGCTGCGTCCGGGGGCGTCGCGGCGGCCGCGCCTCGTGTGGTGCCGCCCCATGGGGTACCTGCTGCGGCCGCGCGCGCCTGTCGCGCTCGCCTCTTTCCCGGGCTCCGGCAACACCTGGCTGCGCTACCTGCTGCAGCAGGCCTCCGGTGAGTGACCAGCCATCTTCTCGTGCTTGTAGCTCAGCACAAATGGGTGATGTGGCGTTGCTAAGTGCAGAGGTAAACGAGATGCGTAATCAACCAGTGTTCATCCCCGAAATTCTTCTACTTCTGTAGCGATTTAACTAATTTAATTGGGGGTTGAAAAAATCCTTCAAGTATTTTTATATATTTAAAACATCCTATACGTAAATATTTATTATATAACAATTTATTTCTACACCGTGCCTGCGGATTCCGTTCTTCCCAAAATTATATTATATTTCGAATGACTTCTGAGTTCGTAAAAATACACTATTTATATTTTCTGGAGCCCCACATCTCTTATTTTAACTTCCATTTGATTATGGTAATATTGTATTCATTTCCTTCACATTTTACATTACCGGTACATATTTAGGCCTTCATTTCATTACAGCCTATTTTACGTTGCTAACATTTCTTCAGCTCTAATTGACCAAAGTAATGAATACGTCCCTTTATTGAGAGCTATTGTGAGCATTAAATAGCAAAATCATTTGCGTAAGCGAAGCAAAAGAACATATGACTTTATTTACGTTTAGAGTGTTTAAACGAGTAATCTAAAACCTTATGTTTAGATCAAAAAGCTTGTTTCATATTAGAAATACTCATTAAAACCTGACTGCAAGACAGTGTTCACATTTCAATAAAAAATCCTATTTTCTTTAATTAACCTCCTTTTTATTATGTAATATTGTATATTTTATTGTATTATGTAATATTGTAAATTTTTGAAAGTGGCCAGGCAGAAGAACCGCCAAATCGCCTGACCCTCACCACCAATATATATATTTATTTATTTATCTATTGCGTTCTTATTAATTTGATTTAACGCGGTTTCCGTTTATACATTCTTCAAAAGATAATTCGTAACAATCTCCTTGCTGAAACCTTCGCAAAAACGTGAGAACTTGAATCCTCGCTGATATGTCTTTTTTTATGTTTTGAGGTTCTTTCGTCACTTTCAAGCGAATGACGCGAGGCCCATAAAAGCAGGTCACGACCTGGGCTCCATCAAGCGAACGCGCTTCCTCTCCCGAGAGGGCATCCACGAGCCGTGGCCAGTCGCTTCGAACGCCCTTTGCTGATCATAAAGTCAGAGACACCCCGGGAAACGGGAAATAGCTGTGAATTGAGACTCTTGCTGCCCCCCAAAGCGCGCGTTTTCTTGAAGACACGTGAAAAGTTTATGACTAGTATATCGGAGCGTGTCATGGAATTGTGCACGGTGAGTCCATTTCTTCAGCAACCTCTAGTCCTTTTTAACAGTACGATATCGCAAAGTAATGTGCACAAAAGTGAATGGAGTAATGGGGCATCTAGGGATATATATTGCACGGATTACCATGTGTATTTTGTGTGGTAACTGAATTTTGTGTTTTAATTGAATGCAGAGATTGAGACAGTTGTGTTTGTCTTGTGTAATTACCGCAAAACTACACTTACTCATTCTAATACATAAGATCATACATTTGTTAATTTTTGTACATGCTTTACAATTGTAACTTTGAATTGCTGAAGGTCAAAACTAATTTTCCCCTTCACTTGCAACTGAAACCTGACAGATAACTTGTGCTCGAGCCAAACTACGAAAAATGCATTACAGAACGCTGGTAAAAATAAACAATCGTTAACAATGCGTCAAAATTATATTTGATGTTTTGTAAAAACAATTCGCTCGTTTTCGGAATGGTCAAAATATAATTTCAGTACAATTGAAACCACATTATTTGACATATATTCACAACACTATCAACATGAATTGTTTTTGCTTTTCACTGAAGGTACAATGTGACGCCATGTCACCCTCGTGTCAGATACAAGCAGCATAAAACAAAGTTATTACTTTTAAATTAACTGTCTGTTGATTATTGTTTTTATATGATTCATTTTATTTTAAACATTTTTCCCCTTTTTATTTAAAATAATAAAATACACGATAACATACATAGCAAATTTAATGTGTTTCATTGAACAACGTTTCGACAATTTTTCATTATCATCTTTTATCGTTGTGTGCTTTACCATTTTTATAAAGGCATTTGTAGTAAGAAACAAAATATATTAATATGTTTTCTTTCTAATACAATACTTTATAAAACACTGCACATTATCATTGTTCAAGATAACACATTAAATTTGTGATGTGATTTTGTTATGTTTTTCATTCTTCTAAATACAAAAGTGAAAAGCTGCCTAAAATAAAGGGGGATCATATAAAAACTAATTCTAATGAGAAGCTAAAACAAACCTATTATCCTTGAGCATGCCGTGCGGTAGGTTGACTCAGCGAGATCTAGAAGGTCGCAGCGAGGGAGGTTTGTTTATGTTCTCGAAAACGCGTGCCTGCTCCTTCGCGTGCATGTTTCCGTCGCGTGGCAAGGGGAAGGGGAAGGGGTGGGTGGGGGAGGGGGAAGGGGGCCATGAAAGAGATGCCAGGGGAGTCTCCATGGACACTCCCTGGAGGCGTGTTTCGCGTTTGTGGCAGAGGCCCGCCCAAGGAGCAAGCGAATGCAGGTGATATGTCCGAGAAGTAGGCATCTGGAGACTGAGCTGACGGCATAGCGAAAACCATGCAAACATTCCAGGTCGTCGTATTTCTGTTTTGTCATTTCGTTTTACTTGCTCGCTCCTCTTACGCAGTAATGTAATGCTGCGCGAAAAAAACGGCGAATTTTCGGCAGAAATATTCTTTGTTTTTGTATTTTTAAAATATCTTATTAGCGAATGAGCGTTGTAATTTAAAAGCGTAAACTTATTTTGAGGATTTTATTTTGAAAAACTGTTTATCTATTGTCTCAATAAATATCTTCATTAGAGATATGCAACGAACCGTTTTCTCGTATAGTAGAACCGTCTGCCCTGTCTGAAAATGCTTTCCATTTTGATCACTATTTTGGGCATTAATGTGCTTATTTTATCACCTAATTCTTCCCAGAAGATACGAAGAAGTCTTGAAAACATCCCACATGATCTTGCTCTTATTAAAAGGTACCCCCTACACCTCAGTAATGTACTCAGAATTGCATAAATGTATGATGTATTTGGCATTTTAGGGCCGAATTAATCCTACTTTTTCCAGCTACCGGTGTTCCCAAGTCTGGGCCCTCTTTTCATTTATTACGCCTCGGGATGATGGAGACAATTAAATAAATAATGTAGAAACAAACTTGAAACAAAGCTGACAAACTATCTCATCATTGCAATTAATAAACACAAATTTATAATCGTTGGATCAAGTTAATTATTACTGGCTTTGTAAGTGAAAAATGCTGTCATAGGACAACACTTCATTAATGTTCAATTTTTTAAAAATCATTTATCGAATGTGCAAGAACAAATTGTAAATAAATAGTTGATTTCTGCATGTAGAGTTTCAATGCAACATTTCGATGACCTTTAATCTTAGTAATGTTAAATTTACTTTAAGAATTAACTTACTGAATAATTCAATTAATACATTCACAGAGTAAATAATTTTTACTAATAAACGAAAAACAAATGCTCAAAGCGTGAATTACATCGACGGTAACATTTGACTTCCTGCCGATAAACAACTGAAACTGACTGAAGTTTGAACCAATTCTCCCATCTCTGACAATCATAACATGTGTGAAGTATCAAAGAAATGTCACGGAGCACGATCACGCTTTTTTTTCTTTATTGAGCACACGATTACAATTTTGCAGGAACAAAGTATCACATACGATTTATCATATGAAAACATCCCTGGGTTTCAGAGGTGCAAAATAAATTTTCAACCACCAATAGATTCTCACGTTTTGATATATGTTGTTTCTCAAACCTTAATATTCTATTTTAATATTTTTATAACGAAAGTTTTTAAATTCCAATTTCAAAAAACTAAAATCTTATAATAACAAAAGTAATACTTAAATTTATGTTAAACCAATAATAGTTTCCAAGCTTTACTGCGTAAATAAATTTCTCTACGATAATGTCCTTCTTTAATTGTTACAGTATTACTTAATGACTGAATACATTAGTGCCAACAATAACCGAGATTTCGATTTCATTTTCCTTCACTTTTTTTAGCTCGACGTCGGGGACAATGTGAAATAACAAAGGAAATGTAATCCTCATTTACATATTGATTAACATTTGCCCTCTTTTCATCTCAATTTTGCATGGAAAAATTACATTTAGAACGATAAAATAAGTACATACATTACAAAGAACCCATAATAATACCACAATAAATGATTACAAATAAGAAATGCATCTTTCTAAAATCCACAAATTCTCTTTCTAAAAAAGACATAAAAACAAATATCTCTGTTTAAATGCAAATATATTTTGACATCATGAACCAATTATTAAAAGAAAGTTTCTTATCTACAAGGGATATGCCCTTGAGATAACTCGTCACTCATACAAAATTGGAATTGTCACAGTTCGATTTTCAGTAGAATTGATGTTCAGTATTAGTGGTTGGGCAGTTGCGTGACATGAAAAGTTTCTAAGCATTTTATGAAATAGGTAAGTCATCGAAATTGAGCAAGGCGCTATCACTAACCATCATGTTTAATTACTAGAGCTGGTGAACGAACTTAAGGTATGCACCCCAGTGTTTCATTAGACCAAAGTAAATTTTATATTTGCCTACAAGACGCATGCTTAAACCCTCAGAAGATAAAAGAAAGATCACGTGCGGAACGTGCCCCGTTTGTAAAGGCACTGCTCCGGCATTCACCTTGTATTTCTGGGAGAAACCCCAGAAAAACTACTGATAAGTGCAGTCGACCTTTGAATTCCCCTCCTGGCAACGGTTGAATTCAATCCAGCTCTCTAGCTAGTGTTAATCCGCCAGAACTCACACCCTAGGACATCCCACACAGACATATATTTACAAATAAATAATATCTACTGAAAATTAATGACGGGGCGTTTTATTTGCATATTAATAGTTTTTTGTGATTAGCTTGAAGTCACTACTGCACTCATTTTCAAGCAAATAAATCAAATGAAACGCAAATAGAAACTATAACTCGTTTCAAAAACGTTATACTCGTAAATATATTATACAGATGTCTCAGAATAAATGTTTCAAACTTCTAGGGCATGAGAGGGGTCGAAAGTAATCACGTTTTGCTATTGAAATTACATACGATGCCGGTGTACGAAATTTTCTTTATTTCATCTGAAAGTGACCTGCCGGACATTTGTGCTTAAGGGCTTGCCTTAAAATCAAGCCGAAGTATAACATATGTAACTCAGTTACACGAAACTTTTCGCTGCATCACCACTGGCAAAATGCAGTCATTTTCGACCCCTCTACTTGTCCTAGAAGTTTGCAACATTTACTCCGAGACATCCAGCGCAGCTTAAGGTGCCAATAGCCCTCCTGCCGTTCCCATTGTGCGATTTGCGCCTGTTGGCAGGTGTGTACACGGGGTCCGTGTACCACGACCACGGGCTGCTGAAGAACGGCTTCCCGGCGGAGGGCGTGGTGAACGGGTCGGTGGCGGTGGTGAAGACGCACGAGTGGGGCGAGGCGGCGCGCCGCCCCTTCGCCCGCGCGCTGCTGCTGGTGCGCGCGCCGGCCGCCGCCATCCTCGCCGAGTTCAACCGCCAGAGCGGCGGCCACGTGGGGCACGCCGCCCCCGACCGCTACCGGCGCAACGGCGGCAAGTGTGAGTCCCCTTGTAATTAAAATCACGCAAAACGGCTGTTGAAATGCCCGGAGAACGCCAGTGGGGAAGTCAACTATTGATTGATGTTTCCTGGCATGTCAACTACTATGGTCATTTGTTACGTTAGTGGATATCCTATCGCGGGAGGTGGCGGTGTTCTTTCCGAGTGCGGTGGAAGCCAGCGCCGACCTAAAAGTCGGCTTGCTGACGACATCCTCTCCAGGTATCTCCCCAAAGGAGGCCCCATTCGTCTCCCAACATGTGTGGCAGTGAAGTGTATGTACGTGTGTGTCTAAGTAAGGGGAGGGAACACGACACATTAGGAGGAAGGAAAGATTGCACGTGATCCGTTTGTTATTCGTAGAGTGCTACGATTGATCGGGGAAAACCCGGAAAACTACCGATAAGAGCAACCGGACGTTAGGATTTTCCTGCGTACATGGGGATGAATTCGACCTAGCTATTTAGCTAGTGTTGAACACCCGTCACCATGAGCCTTCGACCTCTCGGTCCGACAGTCGCTAAAGAACCAGACATTAGTTTACATTGAAGACATGCAAAAAAATAATTCGAACATCCCAAAAATTTTGTTAATTCATAAGATTTGGTTCGTGTTCAGCGTTCATTGTTACACCCCTGCATAGTGTCGTTAAAATTTATAACAAAAATGCATTTTTATTAGGTTTAATAGCTTAAATTCATACATACAACACTTGATACTATTAAAGTACTCTAGTGCGCAGCAAGTGATGTTTGCTCACTCGACAGTTTCACCGAAACTCGGAGAAATGACGCAACGTCCAGTCTCGTTTTCAGACGCCCCGTCGAGTGACGCGGCAGCCGGTTTAAATTTCCCGCCCGGAAGTAACATTTACACTCAATTTTCTCGAAAATGTTGTTGTTGTTTTTTTTCGTAAAACTGGATATAACATTCTACGTGAAAGTAAACATAGTCTGTCGATATAGATAACAGTTATACTGTCGAAACAACATTGTGAATATTGAACTAGTTCTTCAAAAAAACGGATATGGCTATATGTGTGCCCGCGAAAAGAACTGCAAGTAAGCAAATGTAGCTTCATATACCCTTGCACTACTTCAAACACTCGAAATCTTTTAACACTTTTCTAGAAAACAATTGTAATATATTACTAAATACTTGTAACGAAATATATAGCTTTCTCTCTCTCTCTCTCTCTCTCTCTGCTCTCTCTATCTATCTATCTATCTATCTATCTAATCTATCTATCTCTCCCTCTGACTCTAACCCCTCTCTTTCTCTCTCACTCTCGCTCTGTCCCTCTCTCATACTCTCTCACTCTTCTCTCTTCCTCTCATTCACTCCTCCCTCACCTACTCTCTCACTTTCCTTCCCTCTCCCTCTTACTCTAACTCTCTCTCACACTCTCACTCCTTCTTTCTCTCCTCCTCTCTCTCTCTCTCTCTCTCTCTTCTCTCTCTCTCATCTCTTCTCTCTCTCTCATAAGTTGTATATTTCAAACTTCAACTCGAATTCGTTTTTTACTTCAGCTTAAGGGAAATCAATCGCATAGTGTACTGCAGAAGTCGTAGAAACACATTTTGATTGTCAGGAACTCTTTATTTTAAATATAATATAAAATTCTTTTTGATGTTCCTTGTACTCGATTCTTCTGAACGCTAATTTCGCTAGGTGGGCTCACCCCATTTCCTAGCAGCTGGACACAGCCCCAACCAGGACAAACTCTAAGCTCCCTTTACAGCCAGACGTGAGATGTATTAAACGCTTATTACTTCAGTAAATCCTGATATCGTTTCGGAATTCCTCGCGTTGCCCTTTCCGAAAGGGCGACCGGGGCGACGTCAAGCGCGCAAACGGGTCGGGAACCTGAGGAGCAGCGTCGCCTCAGTGCGACTGCGAAGTATCAGGCGCGGCGCTGCCTCGTGACCTTTCCGAGCGGCCATTTCGCGCCCCGATGAGCGAGGCATCCCTCGCCGTCAAAGGAAGACCTTTTGCGCCGCGCGCGCCCTTCCCGTTGACTGCGAGGGCGCGGAAATGCAGGGCGCTCAACTCGAACTTCAAGACATTTATTTGAGTCGTCGTTCTTTTCCGGAACATTTGCGTTTTCACGAAATATATCGGTTGTAATTCATAAATATCCATAGTCACTCAGTAAATCAAGAAAACGACTTCACATACTACATGGAATTCATTGTTAATTGCTTCTTCATACGCAAATCGCTGGTTACAAAACATCGTGGAATACACCTTCCATTCAGCAAATCGGTATAATTTGTCTATTCTAAAATATAAAACACCAGGACTAACTTTGTTCAATTAAAATTTCAATCTGTATGCAAAATCGGCAATACGTTCTAGAAATCGGCTCTTAAATATTTTATTTCTAACGCATCTGAATACGTTACCAAAGTTACAGAATTTAGGCTAATGTCAAAAAATATTTTTGAGAAAACGTTTACTTTTCAATATTTTCCTGGAGTTATTTGTATTTAACTTTGGGAAACGTATGTTGTAGAACGGTGTATGGAGGCTGGAGAATAAATTATTTTCGAGAAATCAGCACATCTTGTTGAGGGAAAATTGTAGTTGACATTATAGACAATCTTGGCGTGGATTTTGGTGCAGTTTAATCTGCATATTTACGGATGTTAACGTGCCTCGCATTGTCTTCATGCATAGAATAATAGTCTTACGCGTCTAGTATACTTCCCATTCATCACTAGATAAGAGTTACCAAGTTCAATTCTTTTTCTATTTGCTTAAGTAAAGTATCTTCTGCTATCTCCATCTTCATAAGCAACAAGAATAGGTTATACACCACTTTAAAACCGCTTCATGAATGTGGCGCACGCCCATTCGCGCTTCATTCACTGTCGGCGTCTTGCGTGCGCAGACTGGCAGCAGTTCGTGCGCGACAAGTTGGCGGTGTGGCGCGCCACCAACCTGGACTGGGCCGTCAACTTCAAGGGCCCCGCGCTGGTGCTGCACTACGAGGCGCTGGTGCGCGACCCGGGCCCGCCGCTGCGCCGCGTGCTGCGCTTCCTGGGGCTCAGCGCCAACGAGAGCGACGTGCGGTGCGCGCTCGAGCGCCGGGAGGGCATCTACAGGTGCGCGCCGCCGCCGGACAGGCATCCGCACTCATTTTAACGTACAAGTTCACTTTAAGTTTCCTGTATAATACATTAATCTTCATTAAATTTAATGACATTTCTCACAATGTAGCGTTCGGACAAAATATACGGAGATAATTGTTCGCTCTGTACAATTAATCACATAGTAGATGATGATGATCACATAGTTGATGTCTGCGGTATACAGTAAACTCGCGATATTCATATGTAACTAGAGCTGATGATACCTCGGATTAGAAAAAAACTCAGAATTCACGAAAAAAAACATACCTAACGGAATTTTCAACTACAATGCAAAACAAAGACAAAGAATACCCTCGGATAAGATCGCAAAAAGTTCCCCTATACCAAATGACGTATGAGTTGTTACACTATATCTGTAACATAAAAATCATATTTTTTAAATATTTCTTTGCCCCCGTAGCATCACCCACACCTTCCTTCAGCCAAAAAAGTGTTTTTTTTAATTTTATTTTTTGTCAACACTATTTTATCTTATTGAAAAGAATATGAAAAATGAGACAATATTTTACCACAAAAACATTTTTTGACATTTTGTCAGTGCCAAATTCAAACGCAAAAAAAGTTTTTTGAAAATGAATAATTAAAGGTAATTTTTACTGTGTCTTAGAGGCTTTGAACAGGCACGAAAAAACTCAAAGTTTCTCTCAAAACACATATAGCTGTGAATTGTTTTCAGATTTTTCGACAGCTGGCTGTAATTGAAAAATAAAAATCATTTTTAACATTCACAACCTGTAAATTACCTTAATTTTAAATATACTTTGAAAACAGCAACAGTTCTGTGCGTTTACATTTGATACACACGAATTCACACACGTTATTCTCTTATCTCTTTCTCGCTGCCTCTCTCTTCCTATCTCTCTCTCGACTTCCTCTTCTCGCTCCCTCTTTCCCTCTCTCTCCTTTTCCTCCCCTCGACTTCCTCTCTCTCTCCCTCCCTCTCCCTCCCTCCCTCCCTCCCTCTCTCTCCTCACTTCTCTCTCCTCCTCTCTCTCTCCCTCCCTCTAATCCCTCCCTCTCTCTTCTCAAACTCTTCCTCCTCTCTCTTCCTCCCGCTCTCTCCCTCCCTCTCTCTCTTTTTCTAAAAATCTGCGTATCAAGTGTGTCCGATTCAAATGCACCGCTTGCGCGTGTGCAGGCGCGCCGGCGCAGGCGCCCTTCGACCCGTTCTCGGCCAAGATGAGGCGGCGCTGGCGCGCGAGCAGGAAGGCGTGCTGGCGGCGCTCGCGGCAGGCGCGGCCCTCGCTGGACGAGGCCGCGCCCACCACCCTGCCGCCGCCCGTCAGCTGACCGCGCACCGCCCGGCCCCGCTGCGGGCCCCGCGCCCGCCGGGCCCACGCCAGCCGACGCTCGCCCACCCCTGCCCCCAGGGACCACTCGCCCACGCAAGAAGGCACCTCCACGGGGCTCCTACGCAGGCTGTGCCCGCCGTAGCAGTTCAACAGGGGCTTGGCCTCAACAGGGACGAAAAGCCTCCGAAGTCTTTCGAACTCGAGGGTGACAATTATTGTTACGTTTCTTTAAATTGCTAATGTGGACTTGTTTTGGAGCACTGGTATCGACAGCGTTCCTTCCCTGCCTCGGTGAAACATTGCTAAATCAGCTGATTTTGCATTCCCTTCAGCTCCAAATAATTAATCGTTGAAACGGTACTTCGAATTTACAAAGCAGATTCCTCAATGGCAAAAACGAAGTAATAGAAAGACACTGCTTCCAATTTCAGAGGCGCGTGCTAAAGCTAGTGAAAGTCATCAAGCACACCCTATTGTGTCCTCTTCGATTCACCATTAATATTTTCTCATGTATTCAGCAGTTTAAGGATAAAAAGAAATATGATTCACGCTGCTGGCCAGAAAGAAGCGAGAAAGATATCAAAAATCATAGAATGTCGCAGCGTTCCTTGTTTTATTTAACGTAACTGTAACGAATCCTTTATGATTTAGATTTATGCTAAATATTATTATTAAAAATTATTATAAATTCTTGAATTGACGCCAAAGCAATACCTCCCTTATCTGTTATAACGACATTGTAGGCTGCTGTCAAAGTCTTAAGACTGAAAGAAAAACAATTGGGATTATGGTGATTCGACCATTGCAACGAATATGAGTCGAGAGCATTATTATCTTACATGATTTTTTATGAAGTTGTATCGTAGCAAAGCTGTAAATATTGAATAAGCCTCAATCGTCGATATTATCAATTGATTTCTTACTTTGGCTTGTTTTTGTTAATAAAAATACAGAAAAGACAGTTTATATTAAACTTTGAAATATTTGGCATTGTTTATGGTAGCAGATTATTCTGTTAATTCATGTTGTACTACTGGTAACCATTTCTATTATTGAAATGTTTGCTTGCTTTCTCTATTGCTCAGTAACGCACACTTGCTATATTTTGTTCCTATAGAAAACTCGCCAAAACTTCGCATGTCAAAAATCAGAACATTTTACGACTATGAAAAATGAAACATATTTGAAGAGTTGCCTCGAATAAATATCTATCTTATAAACAACGTTACAGTTAAGGGGGGAAATATCATTTTAACTTTTTTTCAAGAAATATTTAAAATCTTTAAATTTGTTACATGTTAATCATATTCTCCACAAAAAGGTTGGCGAAGTATACAAATAAAAAATATATAAAATTTATTGGAATATCCAACTGTTTGAATCGTAAGAAAAACATTTCATCCAAGTCACCATGAGGTGGATTTCAATTTGTATCTACAGAAACACTTATTTAATTTGTCAGCGTTGCTTCAACTGATAAAAGATAATTTTCAGGTTTTAAAAACGAATTATTGGATTACTTTTCCGAGAACGTGACACAATGTAGTCGCCTGAAACTGAAATATATTCTGACTGAATGATACATCGCTCTTGTGGCCTACAAGTTCCAAGTTATTACGATGTGGGTCGATAAAAATATTTCACTTTTATTCCAAACACCAAAGAAGTATTTTATATTCCATTGAAGAGTTTTTACTCGACAATAGATAATTTGTAACATCTTTTTTGTACCTGTTGGTATTGCTACAGAGATAGAGACTTTAAATGTACGGTTTTAACTGTTCCGTTGACATTTCCTTGCGTTTCAATTTGTTATCTCTGCGTATTTGTGTTACTCTTGGTCCAGAAACTCAAACATCTTACTGTTCTAGTCAATTTATAGTGTTTTTTACGTAGATATTCTGAAATACAGAAAAACGAAAACGTTCATTGCAGCTTTCATTTAACTAAATTTGAAATGTGGCCGAAACCTGCCAGAATAGTTTAGGATGTCCATAACTAAATGCAACATTTTTATATTTTTATTAGATACATATTTTGTTGATTTAATTATGTTGGTATTATTATGTCTGATAGGTTGAAAAATACGTTTTTTCATAATTTAAATCATTATGACAAAAATGTTATATTCTGTTTTGAATCTATGTTGGAAACATTAAATCGGGTCAGAGAGTAACAGTTCCATCCTGAACAGATTATATCAGGCTGAGATGATTTTTACACATCTTAACTAATCCACTCATACTTTCGAAAACTCTACATTACGGTTATTTTGCGACGGTTATGCGAAAAAACAAGAACAAACTTTTAGACCGCGGGTAAATCAATTGAATTTAACTGCACGATTACAGAAATGACTCCAACAAATAGAAACATATTAAGCAGTTAGGGAGCATTCATTTTGCTGGCATATCGAGCACTCCAGAGAGAGAAACGAAATTATAATATTGCTTCACTATGCGCACGTTTTGTTGAACTCTCCTTTTGCTTGTAATGGTAGGAGGAGAGGTAAGGGCGAGTTCCTATTTTGTTAGCAATGCAGAAAAATCATACTTGCAATTCAGTAACAGATGCAAATACGTTTTCTGTAATTCGGAAACGAAAATTCTTTTTTTTTCAAAAATTGCTAATCTCGTGATTTTTTTATCCTTATTCACTTACTTTAAACTTTTACTCATCTTTGAACTATTTATAGTTAAAATTACGAAAAGAGATTCTGGAACTCAAGAAAACGTGCGCAGATAATCTTCTCCCCCATATGTCGCATACAGTTTTTACAGTTTTTAGAATAGATAAATCTAAATCTAAATAAATCTAAATTTACAAAACAATTACTCCTTCTGGCAAAGAAGAATATCATGAAATCTATTCATATCAAGAGTAGTGGGAATGCGCAAACCAACCGATACTGTTTCAGAAAATTTATTGAATCTACGCGGAAAAATCCAAGTCAAGAACAAATGTGGTAGAAAAATGGCTTGGAAAGTTGAGACATTAAGTAAAATTTCCAACAGCAAGGTTGCACCTCGAAAATGGGATATCGCTGTAGAAAAGTTAGAAATGTCTTTATATTAACTACATGATAAATAGAACATCCCTAAAACATTGTTCATGTCGTTTAGTATTAAGACTCGAAAGCTAATGAAATAAAGGATGTTTACAAGTTCTGGAAAAATACAATAAATATTCGTTGCGAATACAAAGTTGAACATGTTCCCGAACACGTAATTGAAATGTTATGTATTTAACAAAATTTGTTCACGTATGCTTTAGGGATCTATGGCAAAGAAATGCATCAGTCCACTTGAACACCACCATGCACCATTTTTATTTATAATCACTGAAAATTTGAGTGTGAATTACACGTCTCAGGCGATTTCTGGTCATTGCGTTGCGACATCGCTCATTGTTACATTTGAAATCACAGATATAATCGTGATGGTGATAATAATATCACGAACTTAATATTCGCTATCTTCTATTCGCTAACCCTACCACTCACGCATGCTCGTGATGGACCAAGCAAGGCCTTCTAGAAAAGGATCTTGACTCCGTCAAACGGCGCTTCAAACAAATGCCGGAGGCACGCCGTCATTCTGTTAATTTTACGTTTAGGTTCTAATTTAGTTACACAAAACCGGTTAATAATGGCCTGCGTCAAAACGTCTGAAGCCCACTACCTTCAATCGATTGAGTAGAGAACCTAATTTTTTTGTGAACGAAATCCCTTGGACAGTACTGTTTTAAGTATAAAGATTTTGTAATTTTGAATATTAAGTTCAATATTTCTATTCCGGCAAAATATTTTTAAAAAATGTTTAGCAATTTTCCAGACAATTTTGAAAATGTAACATGGGTTTTATGTAAAGTACCCTCAAAATATTAATATATTAATGCTATCCAGAACGGCACCACTATGGTTGAGGTATTTAGCAAGTTTCGGGTCAAAAGCTCCTAATCTGTGTTATGCACGCTACATATATACATACTGACAACCATCCAAATATACATCCCGACTTTTGGGTACGAAATTGCATGTAATCTCCTCTCCACCCTGACGAATCTTAAGAAGCGCTTTTGGAACAGCGCCAATAGATCTTGACGTGCGTGCAGAGTTACAGGTCAAAATAACCCTAAACATTGATTTTACAACCCAAAGGTTTAAATGTATTGTTGAGGTGATTCAAATAGTTTACGGATTACAATAGCATAGGGAGGAAAAATGAGCATGTGAAGTTGTAGACAAAAATTGACACAACGATGGGAAAAGGTTGACGAAATATTACCGTTCCATAATCGGAACAGAAAATTTGAAAAAATTGCTCTCTAAAATCTATGAGAAATACTTTAAACAGTACCAGAATTGCAGTTCAAGAACAAAAATTAATTGAAAAAATATTTTATGCAAACGCAATATTTTTGAAGTGCTCTATCAAAATGCTATAAATATGTTGAGATAGATCAAATGCAACACTGTTAGTGCTCAAAAAACGTTTTTAAAGTAAAGCTAGAGTTCGCAACATCCACAGCTTCCGAAGTGGATTAAGATGAATACGATATGATTCTTTGCACTGTGCAAAAACTCATGATTTCCACTTTACAACATTTTCCTCATAAACTCCGTCAATCATCTAGTTGGATTGTCAAGCGTCGATCATCTAGTTGGATTGTTTTCTGCAGAAAGATAATTAAATTACTTCACATTCAGAAGCTTGTAACTTTTTTTGTTATAATATTACTTCTTCGGAAACACCTTTACGTATTTTATTGCGTAATGCGGAATTCGAGATAACTATTGAGTTTTATTCAACATTCTAATTATTAATAATTGTAAAACATTAGTAGAATTTTCCAGGAGATAGATGAAAACACTACATTCAAAATAAAATATAAACCTGTATAATCGTTATGAATACTTTAAAAGAGAAAAACCCTTCTCTAGTTTTGAACATAGAATCAATATCTTCAATGAACATTGTGTGAACAATTGCATAAAGGAGTAAGTTGCGGCTGTATACATACTTCCCTTTTGAATATTTTGTTACCCTTCATATGACCAATGTATTTTTTCAGAAGTTAATTGAAGTTTGTAGAAAATAATCGCAGCACATTAACCCTTAAACTAAGGCTTTCATATGGAAACATCTCTGAAAACGCCCAGTGATTCGAATTTGCCTAATTTTCCCTCGTATTTTGTTGAATTGTATTAGGAAACACGTTAATTTAATAACTGAGTGGCA